CTTCTCATCGTGGCAATTGCGTTAACTGAAAACCAATGTCAGAGTGTTTGTCAGTTGTGTTCAGCCAGATGCGTCAATCCATTGACCATCTGTTTGTGGAATGCACTTGGTTTGCCTACTGTGTGGAAATGTTTCTTTAAAAGTGCGGCCATTGCAGAGACCAAAGCATGCCACCACCTTCAAAACTTATTTGGCTTGCAATATGCAGTCACCTTTTTGCCTTTAAATCTGCGGTGTGAGTTTTGCATGTAATGTAGTGCCATAATTTTGATGCGTTCTGCGCATATGCGAAGCCTACTATGTGCATATATAGTTTATATATACTTGATCTATCTATATATATATATAAACACTTTTAACTACACCTTTATAATCACACCGTTGCACACACACATATATATATATATGTATGTACATATAGTTATATTTTGAGTCGTGGCGTGTGCCTTTCCTGTCTTGTTGAGTGCGGCCGCTGGTCGTTCATTGGGGCATTTTCGCACATATGGTGGGATCAGAGTGTCCCCCATACCATCGTCGTGGATCGATCCGTCCGATGAGCGGGTGATATATAATAATACGCAATATATATATATATATATATACGTATTTAAAACTATTCATATACTTATACATATATATATATATACTATATAATATGTACTTATACTTAGATGCAGTAATAATATTTTCCACATACTATATATATACATAGTACGTGGCCCTCGACCTTTGCGTGCGGAGAATCAGATTGCATCGGATCGCTGGTCCCCTCCGGTGTCGACCACTTTTTCTTGGTCCGGTCGCCCTAAACTGCTGAGGTCACAGCTGTTGAGGAGGTGGGTTTTGGCTGGTTTTGGGAGGGGTTGAGAGTTGCCAGAGTTCTGGCAATATGTCAGCAATGACCACGGTGGATGATTATACTGTATCTAGTTCAAGTCACTTGAAGTACTGTAGTGACTGTAATGTTAGTGTTACCTCCATGTCGGAATAGTATGCACCAACCTTGTTTAGCTTTTCAATCAAGGGGGATTATTTGATTCAGGCCAGGCTTCATGGCAGACTGCAAGGCATCAAGTCGATGGGTTGACGCGAAGAAATCCAGGAGTCATATCATATCATCCATCCAGTTGGCCTTAGGAACTTCATCCGTTTGCTGTAAAACGCGGAAGTGTCAGTGGCAGTTGCTGGGCAAAAAGATCCAAGAACTGGAGCTGGGAAGTGGCCCTTGGGCTTCAGGGATGCGCCTGGCAATCTTGTTCCGCTGCAGAGAAACAAAAGCATGGTCCTCCAGTACTGGGGTGTTGGAGCATCAAAGATGGGATCGGACAAAGAAACTTGCGCACTGTTGATCAAGGACAGGCATGTCCAAATCAAGAACCGAACACGCACCAAACAAACTGTCATTTCAAGGCCCCTCCACTCTCCAAGACCCATCAAGACCCTCCTTCCGATGTTTCAGCGACATGCTTTGGACCTTGTTCGTTTCGCTGCTCATGCGTTCGCCTGCTTGCCACGGCAATCTGGGCCTATGGCTCAACCACTCAACCATCAGCCCACAGACAGGGCTGAAGATCCTATGAGATCCCATGAGTTGACATGCTTCGGCCAAACAGCAAACCGCAAAGCCCTTTTCTTCAACCACTTGAAAAGCAAAGGATGCGCCAACCCCGGGCCAACCCCTCATCCGGGCAGTCCGGGCCCTCTGGGGCAGTCCCAAGGATGTGTGCATGGAGAAGAAGGAGGATCCATGGTAAGATGAGCTACGTCATCGTTAGATATTGTTATATAGTGAAATCCGAGTTGATTCATATGCTGAAAGGAGCCAATATGAGTTGAATATAGACATAGACAGAAAAGATCAGAAAAGAATCACAAGCTGGAAGCGTTCCAATTCCGTGCACCTGGTTGGTTAGCGTTCCAACGCACTCGTGTTCCTGCAAGTTTCCCCAAAGCTACCATTCTCGACGCTGACAAGTCAACCTTTTGGGGCCGAAGTGAAATGCTGAACGCCGGTGACTTCCGTGGTTGGCATGCGTTTTCCATCGACCGTGTTTCTTTTTTTGTGGATCGTGGTTGGCCAAGAAGTAACATGAAGTAACTAGAGGTTACTAGAGGTATTTCAAAGTTTTTCTCACATACCTAGAGATATCATCCGCAAAAAGTGAGATAACTGGCCACCAGTTGGTGGCATTTCCTGAAGTAGAGGTACATCCACACGGAATATTCCACCAATCGCCATCCGCATCGCCATCCACCACCCAGCGGTTCGTCTCGCCAGCCGCCACCACGGTATCGCCATCCGCCACCGCCATTCATGGCGGATGTGGACACCGATGTGGACCGGACGTGGTACACGGAAAAGGCGCGGTACACGGATGTGGATGATGGGGCTGTGATGGTCTTTACCCCCAGGCCCTTTCGCAGACGGACCACCATGGACCAGGTTTCGAGCCCGTGGTGGTTTCGACCATGCAAACCACACACCAAGCGAGTGGTTCTGGGGGTCATGTTAAACTGCAGGAAGTCATTCCAGCAAAGTGTTTTAGGTGGATGTTTTGGGCTCCCAACGAAGTGGTATATATTGTACATACTTGGGATGATTGAACCCACTGACTAATATACACTCCTAACATTGCCCTCTAGATCAGCCGCGTGAGCAGTCAATGGGTCCAATCAGGGGAGATGCGGAAAGCCCCAAGCTTCTTGTCAATAACCAATACATACAAACAAAACAGAATTGCTGTACTGACGGCCAGTGTTTCTGTGTTCGAAGGCAGCTGTGTATTTGTAACTAATTATATGTTGTTCTTCCGTTTTTACAGTCCCAGCAGCAAGGCTACAAAAGCTTGCATGTACTTTATACGGTACCGTGGAGCTGTGGATGTTTTTGTTGATGATTTCATTTCATGTCTTGAGTGTCATTGCAACGTCTCAACCGTGAAAACCCGCGTGCTCTCGTGCACTCACCAGGTGACGCGCTTCCACCCAGAGAGAGGATGGGGCTTCTTGGCGCTGATGAATCGTTTAGAACGTTGGATTTCTGGAGGCTTTTGGTCCAACGACTGTAGCGTGTCAAAGGTTTTGGTTCGGAAACTCATGCAGATGGCACAGAATTCAATCAACAGTAATCAACATCAATCCAAGAAGAAAAGCTATTGGAATACTGTATCCAATCCAACAAGAAGTGCACATATATGTGACATTTTTGGGCAGTGCCCGAATCCATTTGACACTGCCTTGCTTGGATATTGGTTTCTTCAACCCAGTGAGTTGGATGGACCAGTTCTTGTAATATCTCCCCAGGGATCCACATATTTTCTCACAAGGTATTTACTTGGTTCATCTTGGACCCTCCGAGCCTACATAAATTGTCTCCAATCACCTTCTCAGAAGGTACGTGAATCCATAATTTCTTGTTAATATTGGATGGGCGTGTCTCCATGTTTTGCGGTGACCTTGTTGAAGTTGTACATTGGCGTGATGGGAATCCATTCAAGATCCCATGAAATGGTACCGATATCAGTGGCAGACGTCAAGACGTCTTTGTGCGACTTTCAAGTCATGTAGAACCTTGTGGAAATGGCTCCGCATCCAGTGGATACATGTGGATCCAGTTCTGTTAGGAATGATCAAGAGCTGAACAATTTTATTCCCCTATAGTCTTGTCGGATTTCCAGGATCCGCTGGGACATTCGGAATGTTGAAGTCCTTCTGGCTCCAAGTCGAAGACAGCCATGTCGCTGCGCCATAGTTGGTTGATTCTCCTCCTGCTGGCCGCTAGGGCCTGTGGCAAAGGGGGTTCTAGTGGTGGCAGCGGCACGGGTTCTAGTGGTGGTAGCAGTGGCGTCGGCAGCTCTGGCAGCCATGGCGGCGGCAGTGTTGGAGGAGGTGGCTATAGCGGTGGAAGCTCCAGGACGGGAACAACTCGCCCAGCTGACCGCACTCGTTCGCTTCGGATCACTTTTTTGTAACCGTGAACCACTGGTTGGTTGCTTCCAGGCGCTTGCTTCGACAAGAGCTACATGGGGATGATAATTCCAAATCATTCCATCAGAATGAGCTACAAGCCATTCTGGCATTGTTGCACATGCTGAAGATGCAAATTTATTTTTGAATCAGATGGGGTTCAACAAGTGTTTCCTTCGGTGCCAGTAACGAAAGACATAGGGGCGAGCCAGCTCAAGCTCCGCACATTTTGCCTGGGTTGTTGTGGTGTTCTGTTCGTTGTCATTGCACTTGTGTGGTTGTTGTAGGTTTGTTGTGGCCTTTCTTGCTTGCTGTTGTAGTTGGTGGTAGTTTTGTTGCTCCCCTACCTTTAGGGCACAGGTTTGCAGGCTCCAAATATTATCTCCAAACATCTCCAAACATGTCACCCAAAGATCTCATTCACTCGGGGGGGGCGTGTCGTTCGCAGTCTCCCGGCAATTTCTCGTTCCCGGGTCGCTCGATTCTTCTCATACGTCCTCGGAAGCATCTTTGCAGGAGCGGGTACAGTACATCGCACTCGCGCACCAACTATGTGTCCGCTCATAGCTATGTGACTACCGCCGTGTGGTTGCACGCTGGAAGCAGAAGAAGATATGGCCAGTACCATGCATCTTTGGATGAACATCATGAGCGTTTTTGACTGCTTCCAGTAACCTCCCTATTCCAGGTCTCACCTGCTTTGGTTCCTTTCTGGGAATCGTCGCGGGTGACTCGAACTGAGCGTACTGGCCTCAATAGAAGAACAGACCGTGAAACAGACACACAAACACCCGATGCTGGTTAAAGCAGTTCTGACATGGACATAGGAGCGATCGGACGCTACGTTCGGGGCTCCTGGCCTTACTACTAGGAACAAGAAGCTACTAGGGGCTCCTGGCATCGCTACTAGTAACAAGAAAATAATGAGTTGGAGAAAGAATTTCCATCTCTTGGGCGGGTCATTGGCCCAACCTCGACAGCCTCGACCGCCTCGGTCAAACCGCGTCCGCCGTGGACGGTCACCGGCGTCGGCGTGGACGGGTTGGTCACCGGATGGTCTGAGGATGGTCAGAACTCACTCCAGCAAGCCATGCTGGTGTAGGCTGGCCACTAGAAGCCTGCGATTTTGGGGGATGGAAAACCTTCTTTTTGTGGCCAATCTTGATGAAAGGGCCCCCAGTCTGAGACATTCACCAGCCAAATGCAAGTTCCCAGGCATGTTTGGGTTGAGGAGTGCCATGTCCCAAACCTTTGTTTGAGTCTTTAGGCTTGATTTGTAGTAGTAGTTGTGGTATTTTATAGTCCATGCAGCTATATTAGACAAGCAAATAATCCAACAACCACCAGGAAGGGGGTCATGGAGTCCTACTATATCGTAGATTCCATATTCCGTCAACTTAATGGATTGAATGCCTCTCAACTATGCACATTTGGTGACGATCTCGCGGCTGCTTCCATGTTTGGAAGCCCAAACCATGCACCATACCGAGTGTGGGGTGTTCGGTCCCGTCTCGGGATCGCTGTCGCGCCGAGACATCGGACACGGCATCCACCTGTTCCATGCTGCCAGAGCAAGAGGCCGTGACGCACTATAAAGCACCTATTTTGCTGTGATTTGCTGTGGAAACCTTGAGATGACTCGAGTCATCTCCAATATTCTGAAGTTCCTAAAACGAGCGTGGACTGCCTTGGATCAACGGGTTTGAGCCGAAAAGAGGGTCAACAAAGGGGCTTAGACCTTTCTGAGCGGCAGATTGAAGCATCTGGGCAGTCTCCAGGTGGTTGGGTATGCGTTTGACAAAGGCAATCTTCAGATGAAGATCCAGCCAATCAGTGATGTTTGAGATTAAAGCTTGATTCCAGTCATTCCAGTCGTGAAGAGACCAACTAAGGATATCAACAGCACATGCTCAAACCTCATGGAGAACGAGACGGACTGCCATGCGTGCATCGCTTGCGAGGCAGAAGACTGTATGCCGCTTTGCGAGTCAGCAGATCCATTTCAGCCAACCTTAATCTGCAGCCGAAACAACCACGCCAGATTTATTTTTGTCCGTTGTATTTTGTGCGGTACATATTTGCTAGCAATAGAGCAACTTGAATAATGGGTTTCATTCATGGTACGTATGCAGATTGAGGATGCTTGCACTGGCCCACGAGAATTCCTTGAGTCCAACTCTTCTAAGCAATTTTGAGGCTAGACTGAGGGGAGGTTCTTCGTCAGGGAAGCTGCGATGAAATGGCTGCGCCCAACCCAAAGAAGGAGGAAAACAACAGGACTCGGACTCAATCATTGTTTTCGGGGTATACCAGTATATCAGCCACTGGCAACTGCTGAGCCAAGTACCATCCACCTATTGATGACCAGCGCTCAGTCAGTGTGTGAATTTGAGCCGGCCCAATGTTCCCAGCAAGGCACCAGCGACCGAACTGAGGAACAACATCACCAACTGTGACGAATTTTTGTCCACCGTTTACACCGCGTGCTGCGTGGAGAACTGCCATGCGGTTGCAGGTCCGGCGAAGAGAGAAGGAATTCTCTCGGTTCTCGTGGCAGCTTTGTTGACACTTGGCTGGTTGAGTCAGGAGCTGGTTTGCACATGTTGGCCGGGGCTGCTAGAGGGTAGCGGGGTTGTTTGGGTCACTCTGCTGTGAAGGCACACGGCACTGTACAATTTGTTGGTGGGCTGTGTCGAGGCTTCAACGGTTCATGTCGCACTCGCTGTGATTCAGCTCCGAAGGAAATTGACTTTGCACCTCGTCGTGCGATGACACCACGAGCAGAAATGAGATGGCATAGTTGGGCGCGCAAGCCGGCAAGCCAGCATGCTGGGAAGCTGATATCCAGGAAGCCAAACTACATATTTTTCAAGGCAAAGTTGTCGCTTTCAAGATACTTACACGTTCCGAAAACAATCCAAAATGTTTTAATGCGCGATGACGCATGAATGATCAGGAATGAACAGCCGCAGATGAGAGTGGCAGCTGAAAACATACAGTGACAGTATGATTTAGTATGTTTTGTGGTGCTACCGTGTTGCCATGTGTTGCCCCGCTTTTTGTGATCCACTGGATGGATTTTGGGCTGAATGAACAACACCCAAATAGGTAAACAGATCTTCACTTCCGGAAGCCACAAAACATGAGGTTTCTCCATGTTTCTGCCCTACCGGTCTGAAGAGCCATCGGCAGCCTCACGATGTTCCACGACTAGATCGTCGGATAAGAGTGGCAAACATCGAATAACATGCATAAACATAAACGTCATAAATCGTGAAACATACATTTTGTGTATTTTTTGTGCGTGTGATTTTTGATTGTTTGCCTTTGGTGCCTGCAGGCGTTTTGCGCAAAAAGGTCATTGTTTGGGAATCAGTGGGAGATTTGTGCACAACATTTCGAGGTTGTTAATCCCATGTTCATTGTACCGGCCATACTACCACAAGTCCCAGAAAGACACCATCATTTTGTTCTCTAGAAAATTGAGTCCCTTGATGTTTGGGAAATTGGATCCCTTTACATCCCTTTACAAACAAACAATCAATTTCAAGATGTGTCATATGTCGTAGCGATTTCACCTAACCTTCTGACATTATGATGTGTTCCAGGATTCTTGTCGGCGCTTGGAGATCCAAATCCATGCAGGCTTGGAAGATGGCCCATCTCTTTGCGGGGTTGAGTGAAGGGTGCTGGAGCATAAGGGACAGGGGGGTTGGATTCAAAAAACCCAAATACGATCATAAACGGGCTTTGTTGAGACAGTTAATATAATGCAATATCTTAAACCCGGTTATAGATCTATTTCTCGAAAACAAACTGGTCCTTCCCAATCATAAACCTCGTGCTCGGTGCTGAAAGATACTTCAGAGACATCATTCTGGCTCGTGGGGTTTTTAAATCCCCATCACGGCAAGTCGTCCATGTCAGGATTTTACCCTTCACAGAGAGGATCATGGAAGGCATTTTGGTTTCGGTTTGGGCTATTGGTGCTTGGTCAATTTATGACCACGTGGCATGGTTTGTGTACTGTAATCATTGATGTGCCGTATTTTGTCGCCACACCGGTGCGAATGTAGCGCACGTCGCAAGATGATTGATCGATTGTAGGGGGGGAAGAGACGACAACAGGAGAATGGAGTTGTTAGGAAAGTCTTGCAGGCAGACATGGAGGTAGGACATCTGGTTAAGGTACCATTTTCTCGCCCAAGCCTGTTTGGAATGCCTTTCCACCCCCTTGGCCCTTGGATTCGGAAAGTGCCCCTTTCGCAGAGGAAGCTAAGCTTCAAAGGGTGGCCAGCAATGACCGTAGGGCAATTACTAATTCTGGTAGAAACTTGGCGTCACACAGCCGGCACTCAAACAAACACTTGTAGCTGAGCATCATTTGTTCCTGGTCGTGGCGTAGGACTGAAACGGTGATCATCTCATTTGACCAGGGCCTGCTGATTCCAGCCCAGTCGCTTCCTCACCCGCTCTCACCAGATTCAACTGGACGCTGATTTTTTTGCGCGACAACTTGCCTCCACAACTTGACGGAAGAGTGTTGGCGGTGTACGGAAGAGTGGCATGCGGCTACTGCACTGATTGCAGTTGATTTCACGACCAGACTTGCATCACACATATTCATGTTTCTGTGAGTGTGTGTTTGCGTGTTTTGTGTTGATGACAGATGTTTTCGTGTATTGACTTTGTTTTCGGGTCAGCATGGCATAGTTCATGAATTCATGGCATTTCCGTTTGCCTTTAGACACCGAGGAGGTAGGAAGGCACTCTCACCGACACCTTCCCGAGACAGTGGGTGTCCAACACGTGGCGTGCCTTCCCGAGAACTACCCGACGTGTTGCTGAAACAGATTGAATCGGTGTGTCCAACACGTATTGTACATACAGGGTGTCCATTCCAGATCCCTAAGAACCTGTTTGGAGACCATCTAATACGGATCTCCCATGCTACTTAGGGATCTCCTGCACTACTTAAACATTCATTAAATGTTTTGAACCATATATAGTATATCTCATAGAGGGATCCTGTCTAAGAGTCTACATCTCATATCTAGTTTGGGCTCGTTCTACGAGGGCTGCCTCCAATGCTTGTTGCTCTTTTGTTTGGTATGATTTGTGGTACATCGAACCGCTACCGGGCTCATTGGATCCAAGCCCCTTCAGCATCATGAGCACAGCCCCAGCCATGCAAAAACTTAGGATAGGTCCGATAGGTCTTGGTCTTGGAGGAATTGTCGTTGTTTGCACAGGGAATTCTAGGCCTAGGCATCATAGGCTGTTGAGATACTTAAGGATGATGAACAGCTCCATTGAAGACGCCTGCCACAGACGCACAACGCTGTTTCCGTTTGAGTTTGTACTGTTGCAGCATAGGGAGGTTCAGTCGCCGACACATGCGGTCAAAAGATATGATTGAGATTGGCAGAACAAACCAACATGGAAACATAGTAACTTCATTTAGACAATGGGATGCAATAGGGGGTTAGATTGGAGACTTTCGTGCCCAAGAACGTTTTTAGCTCAGCGAATGCAATTGCCTTGACCGTGACTCAGCGAATTACATATCTTCCCCCAACCTTGGCCAAGCTTGGCGTGCTAAGACCCGCGCTGCTGGCAAGGTGTCCAAGCATCGGGATGCGCAATTGAAAAATGAGGTCAATCATGTAGTCATTGGTTTGGGGCAGTATGCCATGCGCAAATGAACAGACTTGGTGTTAGCAGCTTGTGCCCAGACAAGCCTGCAGACTTCCAATCTGAAATGACCCCAGAATGTCTAAAAGCCTGAGAGTTCAACAACCTGAGCTGCAGGAAGCAATTCTTTCGTTCTGCATTTCCCATACAACATTTCATGTCTGTTCACATCAGTAGTTGGGGTGACAGCCGTGGATCAAGGTAAGGCACCAGGTTCTGGCCACTTGTCCTTCGCCTCAAGAGTTGTTCTGTCTCAAGGCACCTTCAACCACCCGGACTCCTTAGGACCGTTGGTTTTGGATCCCGATGGGTGAGCCTTGTGACAAGCGCGACAAGATGGGATGAATTCTTCGTCCGACCTGTAGGGTCACATTGGCCAGTTGGGCATCCTCGCAATGCCTCGCAAGGCCTCCACTGCCTCGCATCAGTTCTTCGAAATCCATCCACATCCGACCGCCCTTTTGGCCCGAACACTCAGGTTTTATCGAGCTGAATGGTATGGACATCATGGTGCATGTGAATGACTGCAAGCCAGAAGACGTTGAAGCTTGGAGCACTGCAATCAATCATAGCTTAGGGTTAAGAGCCTAATCTCCTGAATCAGATGGGGTTGGTTCCAGAAGAACTGAGCTCAGTGAGGCCGATTTGGAACTGAGTCCATCACTCTTAGGATCAACTGACCCATGTCCAATTGGGACCCTTCTCCACTGAGTCCATCAGTCCAGATGGACTGGCCGCCCACAGCGCCGGCTGAAACATCAGGTCATCGGCGGCACTGATGAGAGGTGTTGCAACACCAAGGGCAAAGGCCAGGCGACACCCATCGAAGGCGATGTGGGACCGTTGGACCGTGCTCGGCTAGGGGACCGGCTGTGTTTTCCGGAAATGATTTCCGGTGGTGAAGCAAAGGGAAGCAAAGACCACCCTATAATATATGTGATTCATTGACTATTTCGTTCAGCATTCCCCTAAGCACTTGCGTATATACTTGAGCTGTCCGCCTGGACCATCCTTGATTTGAGAAGGACCTACCGCGAGGTGCAGTTGGAGGGTCCAGATAGTTTGCAGCTACAACCGGCCCACTCGAAGCAGCAGTCGATTTCCGGTTTTGCTCGTGCTTTTGTGCAACTCTTCCATTCCTAGACACACTTCATGTGCAAGCACTGGACTTTGTGAACTTTGTCCTTTGCAATAGGTTTCAATTCTTCAGACAGTCTGATTGGTTGGTGGACCAAGTCCTGCATCACGTCCCATGCACGGTCAAACTACTACGCTGGAATTTCGGAACCACCCGAAAGAACAACAAAACATCTCAGCGGTAGTTTTATGTAGTTTTTGGCGTGCAACACGCCTCTAAATTGGATTAGGACACGGAAGGGGGTTCCTATCGTTTCTTATATATATATCATATATGTGCTGTATATTACTGTATGTACAAATGCATATGTTGCCGCTTCCGTCAGAATCATCCCTTCCTCTTTGTGATTGCTAGTAGGAGCCCTTCCACGCTGTACCAACATCGTTCAACCGCCGAGGTGCTGGACAACACACGGGTATTGTCAGCCTTCAACGCTAAAGGTCTTTCAGCTCAACATAGGTCTTCCGCGCCGCGGAGCACTCGGGTGACTTGTGTGTCAAGCTTAGCTTGCTTAGGCTCACATGACTTGCAGGAGACGACCTTTGCTCAATGAATGCCATATGTATCATTAAGCATGCCCCTAGAAGCCAAGAAATGGAGATTCCTTCCATGTCAGGGGTACACATGGTCAACAACAGCTGACCAAAACGCTGTGGAATGCTGATTTTTTGAAGAGGCGGATTAAGTTCTCCTACCATGTTCTTCACCCCATAGCGATTTTCCCACCTTCCTTTTTTTCTGGAGGATTCCGAAAGACTGATTGACGCAGCTGAGGATGTTGTTCTCCGGGGAAGTGGCCTACTGGCCTGCCAGGAATAGTTTGCACCACAAAAGAGGTACTGGTGCTTGTGACAGGGTTCAGAGGCCTTCGTCAACCCGCCCGTGGATCTGAGGCTTCGGCTGGATCCAATGCTTGGATGGTTCCCTTGCCTGGGTGGAGCTCACAGATTGTTTACAGATCCGCCCTGTCACAGGGTGTGGGAAGGTGTTTGGCCAAGCAAGTTTGAAGATGCTGAGGAAAGACGATGGTTGTATAACTATTCGTGAGATCCATGGGCTGGGGTCACTTTGTGTGAACTACCAATAATAAACAGTTCTTCGAGGTGACACTTGCGTTTCGACTTGCACCTTCCGAACAGCATTTGCTTCCCACAAGGCCTTCTTTCTTGCCGGGTGGGTCTCAGAAGGTCTCAGTAGCACAACGCTTTGCGCTTTTACTCGCAAGAATTGGTGAAGACGGGTGATTCAGGTCTGCCAGGAGATGGGTCTGGTTGCCGTCAAACCTAGCCGAGATCTCTTCAGAACCTGCAGATTGGGGGTCGTTGTTGTCGGCCATTTTCCTCCAGGCAGTTGGCTTGCAAACCTTTCGGGTTTATATTCCCAAGGGCTGAGACTGTGCTCCATGTATATTGGAGGGGGGTCAATTTACAAGTAGTTCCCGGGCAAGCCGGCGGCGGAAGTTTCCAAAAGAATAAACCTATAGGAAATGGGCATGTGGCAGGCTGAGTCGCCGAGCTGCGATGTTCTTTGACAAAACAAGTTGGAACCGACCAATGGAGCGAAAGCGAAGCAACCACCGTCAACTGTCTCGCACGAAAAAACGTTGTTCATGCAGCATGCATTTTTGCAAAATACAGAATAGAGATGACTCAGCCGCGTACTAAAGTTGTACTACAAAGTCGCCAGTTCTCAGCTTCCAGCTCCACGGCTTGCTCCGCGTACTAGAGTTGTACTACAAAATCGCCAGTTCTCAGCTTCCAGCTCCACAGATAATCCGCGCACTAAAGTTGTACTACAAAGTCGCCAGTTCTCATCTTCCAGCTCCCCAGATACTCCGCGTACTAAAGTTGCACTACAAAGTCGCCAGTTCTCAGCTTCCAGCTCCCCAGATTTCTCCGCGTACTAAAGTTGCACTACAAAGTCGCCAGTTCTCAGCTTCCAGCTCCACAGATTGCTCCGCGCACTAAAGTTGTACTACAAAGTCGCCAGTTTCTCATCTTCCAGCTCCGCAGATACTCCGCGTACTAAAGTTGTACTACAAAGTCGCCAGTTCTCAGCTTCCAGCTCCACAGATGCTGTGCCTGCCACGAAATCTGCGCATGGAGGTTCACAAAGTGCTGTGCCTGCCACGAAATCTGCACATGGAGGTTCACAAAGTGCTGTGCCTGCCACGAACTCTGCACATGGAGGTTCACAAAGTACTGCGCCTGCCACGAAATCTGCGCATGGAGGTTCACAAAGTGCTGCGCCTGCTACGAACTCTGCACCTCGAGGTTCACACAGTGCTGTGCCTGCCACGAAATCTGCACATGGAGGTTCACACAGTGCTGCCCCTGCCACGAAATCTGCACATGGAGGTTTACAAAGTGTTGTGCCTGCCACGAACTCTGCACATGGAGGTTCACAAAGTGCTGTGCCTGCCACGAAATCTGCACATGGAGGTTCACAAATTGCTGTGCCTGCCACGAAATCTGCGCATCGAGGTTGACAAAGTGCTGTGCCTGCCACGAAATCTGCACATGGATCCCAAAGTGCTGTGCCTGCCACGAAATCTGCACATGGAGGTTCACAAAGTGCTGCGCCTGCCACGAAATCTGCAGATCGAGGTTGACAAAGTGCTGTGCCTGCCACGAACTCTGCACATGGAGGTTCACAAAGTGCTGTGCCTGCCACGAAATCTGCACAAGGTTCACAAAGTACTGCGCCTGTCACGAAATCTGCACATGGAGGTTCACAAAGTGCTGTGCCTGCCACGAAATCTGCACTTCAAGAAACAACTGAAACCTCTATTGACAATGGAGGGACGATTCCAAGCATGATCCGACCATGATCCGAGACCGTCTCGCAACCGTCGTTCCGCGGAGCTTCCCCGTCGAGGTTCGGAGAAGCATGGAGTATGGAGGTTCACAAAGTGCTGTGCCTGCTACGAACTCTGCACATGGAGGTTCACAAAGTAATGCGCCTGCCACGAAATCTGCACATCGAGGTTCACAAAGTGCTGTGCCTGCCACGAACTCTGCACATGGAGGTTCACACAGTGCTGCGCCTGCCAGTTTACAAAGTGCTGTGCTTGCCACGAAATCTGCGCATGGAGGTTCGCAAAGTGCTGTGCCTGCCACGAAATCTGCACATGGAGGTTCACAAAGCGCTGCGCCTGCCACGAAATCTGCACCTCGAGGTTCACACAGTGCTGTGCCTGCCACGAAATCTGCACATCGAGGTTCACACACACTGTGCCTGCCACGAAATCTGCACATGGAGGTTCGCACGGTGCTGCGCCTGCCACGAAATCTCACGAAGTGCTGCACCTGCCACGAAGTCTGCGCATGGAGGTTCACAAAGTGTTTCGCCTGCCACGAAATCTGCACTCCAAGAAACAACTGAAAGCTCTAATCACAATGTGACGATTCCGAGCATGATCCGAGCATGACCCGAGACCGTCTCGCAACCGTCGTTCCGCGGAGCTTCCCCGTCGAGGTTCGGAGAAGCATGCCGAACCACAAAGTGCTGTGCCTGCCACGAAATCTGCACATGGAGGTTCACTATATAAGTAATGCGCCTGCCACGAAATCTGCACATGGATGTTCACAAAGTGCTGCCCCTGCCACGAACTCTGCACATGGAGGTTCACAAAGTGCTGTGCCAGTGGTGTATGATGAATGATGTATTGATGAGTGGTGTATGATGAGTGGTGGTGTATGATGAGTGGTGTATGATGAGTGGTGTCTGATGAGTGGTGTATGATGAGTGGTGCATGATGAGTGGTGTATGATGAGTGGTGTATGATGAGTGGTGTATGAT